TCCAGCGCTGGCAGACCTCCAGTTGACTACAGTGGGTAGTGACTCAGTAGAGGTTGAATGGAACGGTGGCACATCTGGCTTGAGGGGCTACTGGCTCACCTGGGAGGGACAGCAAAGCTCTGCCCCTGGTCAGCGCTCCTCCCTCTACTTGCCACCCGACTCCCTCTCAACACGCCTCACGCACCTGCCCCCTTCGGCTAGAGTGTGCGTGTCACCCATTTACCGGACGGCACGGGGAGAGGGACTGTGTTGCACGGCACAGTTTCACTCAGGTGAGTGCGGGCCTGGTAGATTAAAAAGCACCAAGGAATTGAATTTTTTTTAAGTTAGTTGGTTAATATATTATGGATTAGTTTGAAGTTTTTCTACAAAACACTGAGGCCAAAAGAAAATTAAAAAATTATACAACGCAAAAACTCATGCACTATTTTGGTACAGTATCAAACCATGCATAATATAGTAGATTTCAATTAGTACCTCAGTAGAGCGGAGTTCACATAAGTCTTGTTTATTGAGATCAGACCATTGAAAAAAAACATCTTTCTCTGGGATCCTTTTCCTGGTTTAGGTGGGTAACCCACAGGCCTCACCAGCAACAGCTACTAAATATTAATAGTCTTTAAAATTACTTATTTAAATGTAATTTTGCACTGCAGCAAACTCTGCAAGTGAAAGTTGCTCTGTATTGGGAGTGGAAGCAGAAATCACAGTTAGTTATTTTAATTCCTTAATAAATGCCCCATGTGTGCACTTTGTATGTAAGTTTGAGAGCTTAAAATGTATAAATACTAATATCTCAGCTGCTTCTTTCCTTCTTTTCCTTTAGATGCATTAGTGTATGGCTACCAATCATAGCACCCTGAGACTGCAACTGTACCTTACCAAACATGGAGGGACGAAGGCGAGAAGAATGCTGACTTTCATCCATAATTCTTTTCCCTGCCTTTCCCCTCTGTGGAAATCCTCCAGGAGTGACGTGTGGGTTGGCTTACCGAACACTCATGTGGAAGCCATGGACACTTAAGAGTAGTCGGGGGGGAAAAACAGCCACATGCTGACTGCAATCTGCGACACAAAGGAATAACTACTTTCCTGTTTTTATCTTCTCATCTGGTTTGCCCCTGTACTAAATGATGCTTCACATTAAGGACGTGCATTAAATAAACATAATTTGTAGGTGTGTTTCGCAGCTACGGAGAAGGGTGTGATGGGAATGTTGAGGTTTTATGTGGCTTGTTTTGAAAAAGGGGTTTCCACCATATGTGGGCCATGTGTTCAAATCTGCTCCCTCCCCCAAATCTGCATAACGCACAGAAATCATCTGATTTGCATTTTTGATGAATGCAATGAATTCTGCTTCAGTTGACAATATTCAAAAGATTAAAGCTTTGGGCAGATTCAGTTACGATTGCTTTGACCTTTCAAGATATTATAAAAACACCAACCACGTGCTGAAAGTAGAGGGATGCTGTATATGATGTGCAGATCTGTGTAACTGAGAGTAGCCTTCTACCGATGTCTTGTACATCCAGTAATATTTATTAATCTGAAAATCATGCAAATATAAGAATCTATAACTTCTTCACAGACATGCTCTTTACATTTTAAGACTTTCTTTTATAGCTAGTCTCTGCTGCCCCCTACTGAAAAGATCACAGGCTTCTCTTTTACTGTATACTGAAAACATGTATTTTATGCTGACTGCCTTTGGAATTTAATACCAGCTTTCAATAAAGTCATTTTGTAATTTTGTTTACATATTTGGTTGTTTATTTTAAATTTTAGCATATAACAATACTACTGACTGGAAAAACAGCCAAGTCTGATGGGTATGTGTGGAGGTGGACCTCACAGACTAAAAACTACTGCTGATGCTTTTTGAGCTGGAGGTGTTAAAAGTCCAGGTGACTGATTTTGAACACCCAGACTCCGCCTGCTCTCGAAGCCACTCTAATCTGTGCAGGGTCTTCTCCAAACAACAAAGCTCTAGAATTGATCTTTTGAAATAAATTTAGACAACTTTTTTTCATTTTGGTTTATTTTATTACTGTGATTCTTTTTATCGAGGCAGCTGATTTAGTCTATCACAACGCTGAGGAAAATGTAGCACACCTCTGTTGAGGCTCCTTTAAATTTTAGATGAAAAACGGTTGTGTGTGACAGATTTGCTGTCATGCTTTGGGACACGTTTGATTTTCTGTAGGTACATGGCATCGTAAACAAATGGTTCAGTGTCATGGGGAAGGACACTTCAGTAACATTAGCAGCCCTTCAAGCTTGTGTTGTTGTTTTCAGTTACTTCTTTTTTCATCACATCATTGGAGATTCTAAAACTCAAAAAAAATTGATAAACTATATTTTGTCATGTTTCGGCTGTGTGCAGGCAGGAGAAGGACCCAAATGCAAAACTCACCACACAGGAATTAAACTCAAAAAGCTGCTTTATTGCAGAACAGCACAAAAAATATAACAAAACTAAACTGGGACATGGATAACTAACACACAGGGAAACACAGCCATGAGGGAGACTACAACACTGACAAAGAGAAACACAGGGCTTAAATATACTGAGGGATAACGAGGGAATGAGACAAAGAAGGAGAGCACAGCTGGGAGTAATCAGGCTGGATGAGACAAGGGAAGCAAAACTAGAAATACTGACATGAGACATGGACCTTCAAAGTAAAACAGGAAACACACTGACTGAACTCTAGACATGTAAACTTAACAGCAACTGGGGAGACAGACCATAGGAACCTGAAACATGGTACAGAAAGGCACAGTAGACACAACATGGAACATAGGGAAGCCGCATTACAAAACCTAAGAAATAAACCTATGATAACCATAACTGAAACCTAGGGAAATAGCAAACACAGTACAACAAAGGACTCAAAACATAAACCATAATATAAAAACACAAGAACTCAAAAAGCTGGGTCAGAAAGTCCCAGAACCGTGACATATTTGTGCCTGGACAGGTAAATAGAATGGCACATGAATGTGATGGAGGCAAATCGGGAAGCCCTTGTTCTGTGACAAAAATGCATTTAAAAGCCTCCATCACAGTCATTAACTTGCATGAATGCCACGTCAAAAGTGACTGAGAAAGAAAATACATCCAAGAGTTTTGGTTGATTTCTGTTTATTTTATGTTGTTGGCTGTGCAAATTAAGACTTTAGGTTTGGTTAGGGGTTACGTTCAGTTTCACTTCAATTTAATTTTACTTACTAAATCAGTAGAACATTTATCAAGCTGGGATAACCACATTTACTCAGGGCTTTCTTGACGTGATGTTCTTCTGTTTCCCTGGCTGCTCTGTCTGTGGGGATGGTGTTTGCTCTGTGTTGTAGCGTCCTGATGACACCCAGTGGATACTCCAGTGGATGATGAGAGTCAAAACTTAATACTGATCCTATGCGTGGGTTAACAGTACAGCTGTAAGCTGTTTTATTAAAGATAAAAGCTGTAGCTTTTAAATATCTTAATGTGTTGCTCCACCAAGTTAATATGATCCTTGAATTGTGGTAAGTCCTGAGATCTGATTTTCACCCAGGTGTCATCCACATACCTGAACCAATGACTTGGTGGTGTAGGATAGCACTGACCTTTGTATGTGAAATATGTGGAATGAAGACACAGTTCTAAGAGTAAA